ATAGTAATACGTTATATGAGTACCTACTCATTTTTCAAATCACCATTTTCATCATTATCACATTTCTCTAATAGAATGCTGTGTCCTTAATTGCGAACCTCTATCCACTTTGATAAATTTTCTTGTCAAAATGACTTTATTTCCCAGAAACATCGATAACATGTAACTATATTTGTGAGTGTTTGTAGATTTGAATAAAAGTTCCATACTAGCAAGTATACAAAAGTTAAAATTTAATTACATAGTGCCAGCATACTATCAAAATATTCGTTGCGGAAAACGACTATGTCAATATTAAATCAGAATTTAATCGTATTCTAGTTTCACGATATTCTATAAAAATAAAAATTCGTTTCGATATGTAGTCAAAATAGCTATATTCAGTTTATCATTTGGTAATCTTTTGATCCCTACTAATTTCTTTTAATTAATAAATATATAATTAATATTTAAGCATATCAAATGTATATATATATATATATATAATATGCGTCTAATTAATAATTGCATTATTTTAATCAAAATTTTTTCTAAAAAATTACGTAGCCAATCTAAACAATTATTTTATACCTTTCACTTGAATATTCTATACCTTTCATCTTGACGCAAGAAATTGAGTGCTTTCTATACATTTATCGACATTTCATAAGTATTATAATAAAGATAGAATAATATTTGTGTTGACTTGTGTCACTAAATAGAAGGCACTTAGTATCTTCCTCAATTTGACCACGATTTTTATTGGACATCTTATAAATCAATAAAAGACCCATATATCATCTGTTAACCTTCAACTCACTTAACTCCAATTCGTTTAATAAAGAGCAATCCTACACACCAATAAAAATATAGTCAATATTCACGATAAATATAGTCAATTGATAATGTATAATATCGTCGATATTAACATTTTATTTAGAAAAACATGTGTACTAAAGACACATATTTTTAATTTGAATCCAATAATATTAAATTATAATGACCTCTTTTAGAACTATTTATTTATATTGGTGGATTAAAATGGTGATAAAGAAAAGAAAATAAACATTGATATAATAAAAAAAAAATAAAAATTTTATAGGCAAATACGTTCTGATGAAATAAAAAATATTTATGGTACAGTTTTGTAACTTGTGCAGCTTTGGACAGTAGTACACAGTACATTCAAAATTATTGCATTTTCTTGGAAAAAACGCTAATAAAAATAAAAGAATATGAATTGTTGGGATGTTTTATGTTTTAAATTATGAGATAAAATCTGTAAATACACTAAAAAAAATTATATAAAGAATAAAGCAAAAGAAAAAATAATCTCTTATTGTGTTTTTCTTATTTTATACATATTGAACTGGAGATATACATAAAGATTATAAATTATTAAAAGAAAATATTGCATCTGTTTATTAAAAAGTATTAAAGTTTAAAAGTCATATATTGTATTTGAGTGTGTAAATATATATGCGTGTATTTAAAATACATATAGAAATATTATTCCAATTTCAAACTTTGAACATAATTATGCATTTAATACTTAGTTAATTTATTAAAAACGTTAATCAATGGAATTGCTAAAATAAATGCCAATGAACTTAATTCATTAAAAAAGAAGCGACACAATCTCAAATTGATGCGAACATGTTTATAAAAAACAAAGAAACGCACTGTCATCTCACAGAGTAGATAAAGTGGTTTCATGACTTCATATCTGCGCTCTTTTAATATTAATTTTATCGTGGCGTATGCGTAGCAGTCAGTAGTAGAACGTCACTCATGGTGCATGCATCTCATTGCCACTGAGAGTTAACCGTTTCTATTTCTAGTTGGATAAAAGCTCTAACAAAATTGACAAAACTATTATAACAGTAATCAGTAATTTTGTGTTTCTTCTCCCTGTATTACATTGACACTATTTTAACAATCTAGTGTGAACATCGTTCCATTAATATAAAACGAAAACTGTCTGTGAACAATCAGAAAACAAAATAATAGGACACATTTTCTTTTGTTATAATACAGTGCGAAAATCTTTGTCACGATGGAGCCTTTTACTTTAATTCTGACTATTTTAACAACGATTATTTGCTTATATTATTTTCTTTTAAGTAAATTATCTTTCAAATCTTTTAAACTATCTTACTTCGAGCAACTGAAAATTCCCCATGTGCAACCGATTCCATTATTGGGTAATATGGCACCCTTTGTTTTTCGACGTATAACCCATATGGAGCTTCAACAAAAAATGTATAACCTCTTCCCGGACGCAAAATTCTTCGGCCTCTATGATTTTTTAACACCAATTATCGTTATTCGTGACCCAGATTTGATTTCCACAATCGCTATAAAACAGTTTGATAATTTCTGTGATCACCATGGCTTCGTAAACGAAATTCTTGATCCAATAGCCGGCAAAAATCTGTTTAACCTGACAGGGGATCACTGGCGCGAAATGAGGAAACTTCTTAGTCCCAGTTTCACATCCAGCAAGATGAAGATGATGTTTGGACTTATGTGTCAATGCGCCGAGAACTTAACCAATTTTGTGATAACGCAATCTGGAGGATCTGCCAAAACATATGATATAAAAGACTTACTGTCCAGATACACTAACGATACAATAGCTACGTGTGCTTTCGGTATCGATGTGGATTCTTTTAAAAATCCAAACAACGAATTTTTCTTACTTGGCAATAAATTAAAATTTGAAGGCTGGATGGCTTTCAAGTTTCAACTGCATCTTAACTTCCCAGAAGTTGCAAAACTCCTTAAGATAAGAATGTTTGGTCCAAGAGTAGAGAATTTTTTCAAAAATGTCGTTACCACCACAGTGAAGGCCAGAGATGAACAGGGAATTGTTCGTCCAGACATGATTCAATTGATGATGGAGACCAGGAACGATGATAGTGGACCTAAATTTGACATCAATGAAATGACCGCTCAAGCATTCGTTTTCTTTCTCGCTGGATTTGATACGGTATCATTAGCTATGTGTTTTGTGACGCACGAAATCGGCGTCAATCCTGATGTTCAGAAAAAATTGAGAGAAGAAATCGACGATGTTGTCAGACAAACCAACGGCAAACCTACCTACGAAGCTATTAATCGCATGAAGTATTTGGACGCTGTAGTAAATGAAACTCAAAGGCTGTATCCAATAGCACATTTTCTTGACAGAAAATGTGTTAAAGAGACCGAATTACCACCAGCGACTCCGGGTGACAAACCGATCATGGTAAAGCCTGGAGATCGCATATGGTTTCCAACTTTCTCTCTGCATCGTGATTCAAAATTCTATCAGAATCCAAATAAGTTTGATCCAGACAGATTCCTTAATGGTGATGTAGACAACTCGGTCTACATGCCATTTGGTGTTGGACCTAGAATCTGCATAGGTAATAGATTCGCTCTAATGGAAATAAAAATCGTGATGTTCTATTTGCTTTGGCATTGCGATATTGAACCTGACGTTAAAACTAGAATTCCAATGATGTTGAGCAAGAAAACACTAACTTTATTGCCGGATGGAGGTTTTTGGATGAAATTACGAGCGAGAAAATCGAAAACTCCTGTTGTACCATGTTTATCAAACGAGCACAAAATTGAGGGACAGTAATAGTATATATTTATACTCGTAACTTGTTTCAAGCATAAAATTGTATACTTAATGTTGATTATTTAAATTATAATGAAAGTTTTTTTAAACATTTAGAAACATTTAGCTTTTCGTTAATTAAATAAGAAAAGTTTTAGAAATGTTTTTATTTTAATTATGTATTATTACTTTTTACGCACAAAGTAAAGTGAAAAATTTTCAATATTAAAAATGTTATTACAAAAAACATAATAATTCTAATACTATTAGTATAAATATACAATTATTTTTTTGTTGTCTTCACTTGTAGATATGTATGCGTGTCGTGCGCGCGCGCGCGCGTGTGTGTGCATATATGCAAATTAAATAAATTTGTATTTAATAATAGATATTGATGTTTTGCATTATTTTGTTAATCTTGTACTACATGTTTAAATAAAGTGCAACTCATGTTAGGTCTTTAAATTACAATAATAACATCTACATATGTATAGAAAATTTAAGTCATGTATAATAGGATACGAAATAATATTAAATAATACAAATAAATTGGTATTAAATGTTTTAGTTTAGCGAATTTCTTAGACTGAATGTATAAAAAATAGTAGGTAATCAATTTATTCAAATTATTATCAATTTACAATTTATTATGCATTATATTTTACAAACAGATATATATGTGACTGATTTAAACATTGTAGATTTAATAACTATAGCAGTATTTTTAAATTCAATCGAATTTTTAAGATAAATTTATCTCTCTCTGATATCTCTCTCAATAAAAAGTCGGCTTAAAATGAGAAATTATTATTATTAATTACAATTTAAAATAAGATTTTTAATTTTTATGTCAGCAAAATTAGATGTTGTTGTGCATCAACAATTTACAGTCTTAACCATATATTGGAGGAACTAAGTTCATAGACAGAATTTTCACAATTTCAAGATTTTTTAAACACCCAATGATTAAAATGTAATATAATAAAATGTAACATGATAAAAAGAATTTTTCTCTATATTTTTATACTAGAAATGAGTCTGTATTTTATTCTTTGTAGTAAGTAAAATACGAATTTGTTGCATTCAGCATTGTGTAATCAACTTCTCCTTATAGTTTGACAAATTGTTAATACATATTATAATAGATATATATCGCGATGTGAGTTGCCTTTAGAATAAACTGATCCGTTTTTAATTAATAAAAAAAGAAATAGTAATAAAAATAGAGAACAAAATGCAAATGTGTATTCCTTGATAAACATTGTATCTTTTAAATGTAAATTAAAGAATAAATAATAAATAAAAATTAATATAAAAAATAAAATTATTTAATTATTAAATATAAACACGTTTAGATAACGTTATTACTGCAGAAAAAAATTAACTTGATCTGTTTTAATCTCACTTTTAGATATACATATTTGATATATTGATTTCAAAATTTTGTGATATTATTATTATAAAAAGACGCAATATTGTAAACAAGAAGACCGTTAAAAAATAAAGAAATAAAATTATAATTTTTGATAAAAGTATATAACAATTACTTAATTTAATTAAATTTATTTTTAATTCTGACAACGGCCAACTTGAACAATTATTATGCTTCGATCTATACAATTATCCATCCACTTTTATTAATTCACTCCTGCACTCTCTCTGCTTAATCGTAATTTATACGTGATCTACAATAAAAATCGTAGCAGTAGTAGAGTCTTAAATCGTAGAAAATTGATCAATCATAGTCGATTATTGTTGGTTACTTTTCTTTGACTAAACGGTATCTTTATATACGAGCGTCAAGTGTTGTGGGCTTGCTATTCATCAATTTTGATCACGTGACTATATTAAATATAACGTGACAATATTAAATATAATATATTTTATCAGAGTTGAGTTATAACTAAAAATTCACACGCGCGTGGTACTGCAAGTCTAACTAATTTTTCCTAAAATATAAACGAACATACCCTATCCCTACATAAGTCTAATTTTAATCATTATATTATAACAAATTACTGTTATTTTTCAACATGCCGTGTAAAAATTAATATATATTATAACAGAAATATTCTTTAACTAATAATACATATCTTACATTTACTTAATTTCTCAAACTGAAAAACATTAATACAAAATTATGAAACGCTCATAAAATTATGTCTCCTCTTCAATTAAATATTTCCCCCTTTTTGTTGGAATACTTATTTGATTAAAATAAAACTTAGAGTAAAGATATTATGAAAAACATATTTTACTATACGGTAACTTTTCCATTGTTTTCTTTGCCATAAATACATAACTGGAATCAACTTGCCTTTTGTGACAACAAGCATCGGTCTCTCCTATAAAGCACAATAATATATTTTCACATATATTCTTTGATCATTTCTCTTGTTATATAATATAAAGTACTTTTGTATATTTTATTGCATTTTCTTGAAATAGAAAAAAAAGAATAAAAGTAACGATTAACAAAATTGTTATAAAAACAAATATTATTTTTAAATAAAACTAACTTTGAATTTTTATCTTTCGTTAGATATAGGATATTTACGTCAAATAGTGAGAGTACAATATACTTATGGCCAAGTGCATATTAAAAAACAAACAATAAATAAAATAATAAACATTCATATAAAAATAAAATTGTTTAATTATGAAAGAAAAACATAATATTGAATACTGCTAAAAAATTGCTCTATTTTGGTTTTACTCTTTTTTAATTACATTTAATATATTAAATTCAAAATCTTGTAACATTATTATTAAAACGTTGATACAAATATATTTGTGAAGAATAACAAAAAATATTATTATCTTAAGAAGATAGTTGAAGAGTGACTTTACAAAATTTTTTTATACACATCATATCTACGCAACATTCGATGTCATTAATTTTATCATGTCGCAGCAATCACAGCCAGTAATAAATTTTCACTCGGTGTGCGCACATCTTATAACTAATCGATTAGAAAATTCTTATAATGGAGCCTTTTACTTTACTTCTAACTATTTTAACGATTATTTGCTTATATTATTTTGTTAAATTATCTTTTAAATTATCTTACTTCGAACAATTAAAAATTCCCCATGTGCGACCGATTCCATTATTGGGTAACATGGCGCCTTTTGCTTTCCAACGTATGAGCCCTATGGAGCTTCAACAAAGAATGTATAACCTGTTCTCGGACGCAAAATTCTTCGGCTTCTACGATTTTATGATGCCAATGTTTGTTATTCGTGATCCAGATTTGATTTCCACAATTGCTGTAAAGCAATTTGATCATTTCTGTGATCACCATGGCTTCGTGAACGAAATTCTTGATCCGATAGCCGGCAAAAATCTGTTTAACTTGAAAGGGGATCACTGGCGCGAAATGAGGAAACTTCTTAGTCCCAGTTTTACATCCAGCAAGATGAAAATGATGTTTGGGCTTATTTGCCAGTGTGCCGAGAACTTCTCCAGTTTTGTGGCAACGCAGTCCGTAGAAACTGCTAAAACGTATAACATGAAGGACTTACTTTCCAGATACACCAACGATACAGTGGCCACGTGTGCCTTCGGTATTGATGTGGATTCTTTTAAACATCCAAACAATGAGTTCTTTCTACTCGGTAAGAAAGCATTCAATTTTGATAGCTGGTTGGCTTTCAAGTTTTTAATGCATAGAAACTTCCCGCAACTTGCGAAACTTTTGAAGATGAGAATGTTTGGCCCAAAGGTAGAGAATTTTTTCAAAGATATTGTTGCCACTACAGTGAAAATCAGAGATGAACAGGGAATTGTTCGCCCGGACATGATTCAACTGATGATGGAAACTAGGAACAAGAATAGCGGCCCTGAGTACGACATTAACGAAATGACGGCCCAAGCGTTTGTTTTCTTCCTCGCCGGATTTGATACGATATCAACAGCTATGTGTTTCATGACATACGAAATCGGTGTCAATCCTGATGTTCAGAAAAAATTAAAAGAGGAAATCGACGATGTTCTTAGACAAACCAATGGCAAACCTACCTATGAGGCTATCAATGGCATGAAGTATTTGGATGCTGTATTTAATGAAACTCTCAGATTGTATCCAGTAGTATCTTCTCTTGACAGAAAATGCGTTAAAGAAACCAAATTACCACCAGCGATTCCAGGTGGTAAATCAATCACGATAAAACCTGGTGATAGTGTGTGGTTTCCAACCTACAGTCTGCAACGTGATCCAAAGTACTATTCGCATCCAGATAAGTTTGATCCAGACAGATTCCTTAATGGTGATGTAGACAACTCGGTCTATATGCCATTTGGTATCGGACCCAGAATCTGCATAGGTAACAGGTTCGCCCAAATGCAAGGAAAAGTCATGCTGTTCTATCTACTTCGGCGTTGTGATCTTGAACCCGACATTAAAACTCGAATTCCTATGGTATTTAACACGAAAATGTTCCTCATGATGCCAGACGGAGGTTTTTGGTTGAAATTGCGAGCGATAAAATCAAAGACTCTTGTTACATAATGCTTATTGAACAGACATAAAATTGAGGAACAGTGAACAGTGAACAGTGTATAAGTTTCCGCGATCTTATTGATAATCTGTTTATTTATATAAAGGGATGAGCAATATTATAATCGAAATATTTTCTTTTTGAATTTATCTTTTTTTTGTAATTTTTTAGGCAATTTATGAATATTGCGGTATAATGTTGCGGCTGGCTTCGCAGAGCGATTTATTGTCCACTTCAAATTCACATTTCAATTTTTTAAACCAATTTTATGTTCTTGCTAACAATATTATTTCGGTAAATCTTATAAATTGTTCTTGTTGTATAAGTGGCGTTAGTACCGCAATAAAAATAGTGAAACATATGTAATTGTAAATACATATGTGGAACACTTTTTCAGCAGTCACATTCAATTAAACTAAAAATGTAGTTAATTCAATTGCAAATTATTATACAGCTTCCGAAACATAGATTGAGCAACTTTAATGAAAAAATAATTGGGTGCCAAAATTTAAATACACTTTTGTTAACATATATAAAGTTTTTTTTCTGCGGGAGAAGTTATTTATACTTAATATGTATATTTAAACCTAACCTATATAATCTAACCTTTTAAATATTATATCGAGGGATTTCTTCAAATAAACATGTAAGCAATTAAATGTTTTAGAAAAGATATTTTTAAAATAGATGTATCATTTTTTCTTAAAGCAAAGTAAAATTTATTATCATTTGAAATTCTTATAAAATACAATAATTATAATAATATATCAGTACATAATATATACACACGATTCCTTTTTAATTGTGTTTATTTATATGTAAATTAGATAAACTTTGTTAATAATAATGAATATTGATTTTATTATTCTATATTACTATTGCACTTCACTTTTTAAGAAATGTAAATTTACATAAAATTTTTTAATTAATCTACATAAAGAAAGAATAAAATATGATAGGATACTTTGCGCTATTGTATAATACAAATAAATTGTTGTTAAACGTTTTAATCTGATTAATTTTTTAAATTAAGTATACCAAAATCATAATTATGAGCATTTTATTATTATTCAATTATTATAATGTATCACCTTATAATTATCGATTATAAATGATAAATTATACAATTCTATTCAACACTTCATTTGTTAATCACGTAAAGATTGAAAAGTTATATAATACACTGAATACACATGTTTTCCTAGTTATGTAATGTACTTATATATATAATGCGTATTTGTACGTTAAAATAATGTATAAGTAATTAAATATCTAATATATATATTGTTAAAATATGTTTTATTTTTTTTAATATAATAAATGATAAATAATAAAGAAAAACAAATTATAATTCTTTTTAAGAAAAAGAAAAAGAGAAAATGAGAGAGAGAGAGAGAGAGAGAGAGAGAAAGAAAGAAAGAAAAGGAATTGAGACAAAGTTTGATTATAATCTTGTACGTCCAGTAGTATAATTAATGTATAATATTAAATAACTAATATTATTAAATAACTAATACATTTGTCTAGAATAATGGAGTATCTTATCATATTTATTAAAAATAATACATTGGATCAATAAATTGTTAACTAATGCATAGAAATTTTTTTGTTTAGCCAGATAAAATATATCTCTACAAATAAACTCTCTAAAGTACGAATAAAATATTTTCAACTTTTTAGCTAAAGAGAGAGAGTTGCTTAATTTTACTTCTCAAAGTTAAATATAGAAAACGCTCTGTGTTTATAGTATAATATAATATTAATTAAATAAATATATTCGAGCAAATATTTATCGGTTGTCTCGACGTTTACACTTTTATTTTTACTTATTGACTATAATGACGAATATATGCACATTTATCTTCAATTATTAATCATAATAAATTATGCATTACTTGTTGTTACTACATTGAGTGGTTACGACACAATTTTTTCTTATGTTTGAACTATGTTCTTTATGCGTTTCTTATTCAGCAACGCTGTGTACAATATCGAGATATCAATTTTCTTTTCCTCACTCTTTCAATTGCTTGTGAATAATATGCTATAATTACTATATATTGTTTTAGAGATTCACACAGCAAGTGAATAACCATTTCCATATCATATAGGTACAACTCAATATATTTCTAGGATGTATTTCTATGTCTGTGTGCGTGCATGTGTGTGTGAAAAAAGCTAAAAAATGAATCGTATATGTTACCATGCGAACATATGACATGTTAAATTGATTTTTTTAAATTATTAATATAGTTTTGTGCATCAATTTCTGCGTCCGACTTCTATATATCCTTTTTTTTATTATTTTGGAGAATATGTTTGTAAATCAAATACATTAATTAACAAAATACAGTCCAAGAAACGTTATTAATATGTTATTAGAAAGAGATATTTAATACTAAGATTTCGTTTTAGTTTTGTAATAATTTGATAATATATATTTGAAATAAATATTTTCTACACGAAAACATTCGACGATATAGCTGATGTAAGAGCTATGTATCTTTAATTAATTTTAAATCTAATCAATACAAATGATAAATTTTATATATCAATAACAATCTCGTGACAGCAAAGTATATAAAATAATCTTACGACATTTTGCAAACTTAAAGCAAATTTAATCAATGTACAGTAAAAAAATAATTTTTATATCTTATATAAATAACATGTTAGAATGATAAGCTGTCTCTTATTAATAATGAAAATATTTCTTAAGCTTTTAAATAAAAGGTTTAAAACTAATAAAATCAGTAATAATGGAGATTTATTTATAGAAAACTTAATAATTTTTTATGTTAAGTTTTAACACGTTTTTATGTTGCATAACTAATATTAGATTATTAATCAAACATAAAAATTATTTATTAATTCTAATGTAACATTTTTTTTTAATTAAAATTTTCATGATTCTAGGCAGATACAATAAATTTTTTTATGGTGGCAAAAGATTTTTGACTAAAATAATAAGCAGGAAAATTTGGTTGCTATTGACTGCTATTTGAATGCTTATCAAATAGACGTAAAGAAAATAAAGATAATAATTTCTTAATTTATAAGACTCACTTTAAGTAAAAGACACATATTTAATAGCTTTTATTTTTTCATTTAAAACTACAAAATTAAGAGAGAAGAGAGAGAGAGAGAGAGAGAGAGAGAGAGAGAGAGAGAGAGAGAGAGAGAGAGAAAGAGAGAGATTGAATGCGTGTGTGTGCGTGTGTGTGTGTGTACATGTGTGCCAAAATAAAAAGTGTGCAGAAAAAGTTATTTTACAACAGTTTTACATTAATGTCATTTATTAAAGTAATTTTATAAAAAGCAAATACATTATGCGCTAATTATTTTAATAGATGCAATCGTTTTTATATTAAATTTTTACTTGTGTTTAAATCACAGACATTTTGTAATCAAGTCTTTTTAATATGATTATTATATTAGTTGTTACAATCATTTTTTTTAAAATCATAAATTTGTATTAAATTGCCTCCATATATATTATATGGAGTTTTTAACTTTATTATACAACGTTATTATAAATAAAGTTGTATGAAATATTTGCCGAGTGTTACATTTTATTTGTTAGAGCTTGTTCACAATATATGGTTTTCTTTTTCCACACCGATAATTTCACCAAATCGATATAAATTAGTTCAAATCTGATGCCACGTTCAGAGAATACTGTAAATTTTGTCATACATCCTTTCTTTCCTATACCCATTAAATTTTCCTTTCACGATTTTATTAGCTTTCTCGAAAATTAGATGTGCGAATATCTCTCTTTTCTATTATTTATTACTCTTGCTATTGTCATAATAATTAATAAAAAATATTGGATATATGTATACAGTTGTGAGTAAGATATCTGAAAAGATATTGTTTGCGGTTGTATCGGACACTTAGGTATTATACATGTCAACTATAAGGAAGGATAAATTAAAATTTTTCGATATTTCCGAATATTAAAAATATCTATGTATCTTTCTACATGCCTATTCCTTTATACTTTTATCTTTATAAATGTCTAACGTTTTATTTCATATTGCAAGATCTTTCTTTTATTAAACTTATTAAAAGTTCTGTATTTATATCTTCCATTGCATAATAACAATACATACATACAAGCACAAAATTGTATACTGCGGATTAGCTGCTTGTGAGACGTTTTGTCAAACGATTGGAATGCTGCGCTCTATAGTAGAAAAGCTAGATCGAAAGGAAAACCATATCATCTGGGCTGCTTGTGGTCCGATTCACATTCACAACATTCATGGAATTTTGTTCTTATTGTTTATCAAAGTCAGGGACGTCGACTTGGAATTTCACCATGTGTGGAGGTAGGAGTTTGCGCGGGCGAACTGACAACTAAAAAAAAAAGGTTTTCGCAAAATGTGTATACAAACTGTGTTGTAAGGAATTATTAGTTTTTTTTTTAAGGCAGTTGTGATTTTCATACTTTTTCCATATGTATATATTTGCAACGTACTTTCTTCAGAACACATACATTTATTTATACATATATACTTTTTGATACACACACACACACACACACACACACACACACACACATATACACACACCTTGATAATTCTGTCATGTTTGTTTTTATTACTTGTACAGTTGCAACACTTTCTTTTTCTACGTTGAACACGAAAATGTAGAATCCCGAAGTTTGTTCCTACTTATAAATTCATCCATTGCAGCTTCCATATCCAGAATTTTTACAACATCCGAATGAATATGCAGAACAGCTGTACTATTTAACAAAATAGGAAGCATTGTCGAACGTACATAGGTTTTTATTCTCCTAATACCTGTAAAGTGGAAATGGACATAAGAGCTGAAAAAGATCTTTTCGCAGTACAAGATGTTACCGGAATTATAAGCAAGAGTTCTATCATTTTTGTGTATTCTGATACAATTCTCTCACAGCTATATTTTCTTTTAAAAAGTTATCCTTTTTTTAGGCATGTAAAGACATTTCCACTAGTAAAATACCGATCGAGGGCCGTGAAAACGGCAACCGCCAATCGAGTTGTAAACATACGACTTTTCATATTTAGTTTAATCAACTTTTATTTTTAATAAGCCATATTAAATATTTATACTAAA